TTGCCAAGCTTTCGCTTCTGATGGAAAGCTTCTTCAAGGCCTATAATTCATTGAGATCTGTGATGTCTCAAAAAACATTTATTAAGAGAGAGGGAGAAAATTGTTTTGTAGTTCTTTGTGAAAATTCTGTAATGTCTCAGAAAATATTGAGTTGTGTTCGAATAGCAGTATATGATGTTACTTATTTAAATCCCCAGAAGACATTAACTACAACACCCAAATATTCCAGAAACTTTTATTTCTAATTCTACCCTTCTTACGTATGTTTTATACTTTTGAGTTATTCATTCGATCAGAGCTGAAAAGTGTTTTAAAGTCGATTTATTTTCTTCGAATCACTTTTTTTCCTGTTGGTGTTCTCAAAAGCCAATATATTTTGAAACATTCAACGCAATGTTGACTTCAAAAAAAATTATTGAATTTCATTTTTCTGGCAATGGAAGTAATGAAAAATTAGTTCAAAAAATAAATGATTTTTAATACTCACTGTAAGAGGTCTATTGGTTGCGATCGATCTTATAGCAGCCTTGGCATACTGTCGCAGAAGGTAGGGAAAAGTTGGCGGAATGGAAATTTGTTCCGAACAATACATCTGATCGGTGAGTTCCGGCATTTTTTAATAACTGCACTCGTAATTATTCTATTTGTTATAACCTTTAACCAACCCAATCGCCTTGTCATTGCTTGACGTTGACATATTCGAACTTGATTCGAACTAATTATTTACATTGTTTACATTGGTTAAATAACATTGTCATAGTGATATTATTGATCCCTCTCTCCAAATCTATATTTTTTGTGTGTGTTGGTTTACACTATATTATTGACTTGATGTACTTCATTTGATTACTGGCATTTTCATTTCATGAGTTTAATTTTCCCAAAATCCATCCACAATTTTTCATGTTATCTTACATTATCTGTGATGAAATTTTATGAGGAATATTTCATTAATTATTTTGTGTATGTGAATAGATTATAGCTCCCATGCGGCAATTGTTACTTTTGTAGAACTAAAGAATGATACTAATAATGTACATACACAAAATAAGTATCCTCATTTTTAAGCCACCTTTCACATAATAAACGAATATTACCTCTTTCGCACACTTAACACTGATCGTCTGTCCGACAGGAGAGGAGAGGCCTGCCTTCCGCTGACTTATGCGTGAAAGAAAGAGAAGCTGTCTACCTTCTCATAAGAAGTTATCACCTTAAAATATTTATCAATTTTCAAATGTGAGACTGGTCGTTTACAGTAAAGTGGAAAGGATTTTCACTTCAGGCCTTTTTGGGTAAACCTTTAAAAAAGTATTCATTCAAGGGCGGCTGCTTCGTTCAGAAATCGCACTTAATGTTATCTCTTCAAGAATATACAGCCTTTTGCAAGGCTGTCATGTTAAAAAACACTGAAAAGTGACACTTCATCCTTTCATTTTTAAGAATGAATAAAGTCATTAATATTATTATTATTATCATGTCTCCCCAAAGAGTAAATCTGGTCGGGCCTTGTAACCGGCACAGTCGAGAGGACGCGCCAGCAATGACCACTACTCACATCGTTGGGTAAGTCAGGATATAATTTCTGCCTTAGTGCGGCCAGCTGGTATGATTTTGAGATTCGAGAGTAGAGAGGACATCATTCCACCAAGAACTCCAATAAAATAATCAGAACAATCACTACGACAGAGTGGCCTGGATAGAGTCTACGGAGTTCGAAGAGAAAATCTCGTCTTACTCTAGTGGTCAAGAAGGACTACATCAGGCTCATTAGCTTGTATAAGCCTAAGGGTGGGGAGCGAATAGTTCCAATAAATTCGGCACTTCTCGTTCCCCACATCGGATTTGATATCGCTCGGAGCGTAGGGCAACACAGGCGTCTCGTCAATACCGTAAGAGTGCCGTAGATGGTAATAAAGCACTCTTAGAAATGTAGGCCGAGACCGCATGTGCTGGACATGCTGACAGCAAGTGCATTAGGATCTCGGAATCTCTATACCCATCAAGCGACCGAGGTAGACTAAGGTGTTGAAAAAACCTGGCAGGCCATGATGAACCCCTCAGTTTCCGACTTCAGCCCACTCATACTGAGAAAAGCGAAAGCCAATGTCTTCAAAGTTATTGACGAAGACCTAATGCATTGACTTATCCTTGTGTTGCCGCAGAAGTGAGGCGATCTCTACTGCTCTTATAAGAGCATATTGCTGAACGGGTTTCAATTCGATGATAGAGTTCTGATCCCCTCGTTCAGTGTCGAAAACTATACCGAGTTAGTTCATCAGCTGCTCGGGTAGCTCCAATTACTGCTCTCATGGTGGCGGAGCATGCAGAGATTTGAGATGCAAACTCCTACGGAGATGCATCATTTTTCGGGTCTTTACGTCGAGTTGATAGAGCTCTTCCCGAGTCCACTTCACTACTCCAAATAAGTAGAGTAAGATTGGAAAGGCAAGCATATTTGTTTCAAAAACTTTGTTCTTTCCCGACAGTTCCGATGAACAGATCTGTCGGAGTTTGTGCTGATATTTGTCGCGAAGAGAGTTATTTACTGTTGTTTCCTCTTGTGAGTGGTGTTGTTCCACCCCGAGGTATGAGTATACGTCTCTCCAGCATCCAGATTGTGTATGATGCTTCCATCTACGAGCTGCACAGCATCTACGTAGTCCCCGCATCGTCTTTCTTCTTTTGAGATGGACCAATTGCACATTTGTCTTGTTTTACTATCATTATTTGATTTTCAGATGTGCTCATTCTACTGTGTTGCTCTATGACAAGTTTCATACCACTCTAATCTAAAAAGTTGTCACTATTGAGCAGAATCACGATGTAGTTTCTGCCCATTCATCCCATTAACACAAAAAACACTTCCAGATTACTTTAAATCTACCAGTTAGTTTATCGACTGATTTGGCAATTCCCAGTGTTTGATTCCATAGATTTCAATTCGGGTTGACTGCTTGATGAAAACAGAAACTGCTTTGAAAGTGCCATTTTTAAAAAATTCCTGAGCACAAGTTTCTGTTGCATAAATTTTCCAAAAAGAACTTTCAATTTATGCTTTTGTTTTACGCGGGGAAGACTAGAGCAAATGGAGTTACTACCAAGAGCATAGTTGACACAGTTTTTCGGTTTTGAATCTGCCAGTCAAAAAATAATTCAAATGTCGTTTATATGGATTATTCATATGGGTCAACTGAAAATTGAATGTAAAATATGAAGAAATCTTTTTAAGTACTTCCGATATGTTTTCATCGAGCACAAATAAGTAGGTACTCTTTCATCAACTTTAACCCAGTGCTAAACAGAAACAACTAATAGGTGGTTGTTTCTGTTTAGCACTGTTTAGCAAATGATTGCATATTTTACGGTGGTGAATAATCAACATCTTCCAACTGGAAAGTTTATATCTGTTGAAATTTGTGTTATAGTTTATAATCGAATAGCATGTCATTTCAGCAAATGTCAGCATGTCAAATCTATTCTCAACCATTCACATCAAAAACTACTGGTCTGGCAACTCTAAGATCTTGGACCATAATGAATATTTTTAGGATATTTGATTGTAACAGAAACTTGAAATAAATGTAAACGGAAACTTACGTAAAGAGAAACAAGCCAATTTCAAATATTTTATGCAATTTTATTTATTTTTTGTATTTTTGAACTTGTAGTTCCAGGGTGCATTTGCATCACTAGTCTGAATAAAAGGTAATATTTTTCAAATGTTCCATTAATCCATGAATTCTTACGTTTTTCGGAAATTTGATTCAAGTTGATGTTTCATTCTATGCAGAAGTTGGCTCATTAGTTGAAACTAAACTGTTTCGAAAAAGTCATAAAAAAATTCTCATTTTTAGGTGAGTTTTTCGAAATGAAATACTCTCATAATCACATCAATCCTGAATATCCCAAAATGAAATGGATGTCCAGTGGACAGAATTTACAAGAAACGCTAAGCATATCCGTAAGATAGCCAGATACATTTTTTAAAAGTTGAATACCAACTTTTTCATTAGGTCACTTCAAGAACTCTTTTCATTTTTCATAATTTTATAGTTGATCTAATTATTAAAATAAAAACGATTGGTAACTATAGCGGACTATCCTATGATGTATTTTATTTGTATATAATTAAACCACTAATAATTAACTAGCCTCAACAACAGAACAATATGAACGTAAATATTTACCGGAATGAATTTAATTCACTTAGGAAAGATGCATTCCAAACAGATCAATAATCAAGATTCAGAAATATTTCTCTGTCCGTTCTGAATAAGAAAATAAGTTAGCCTGCAAAAAGGGGCTATTACAATTAAGTTTTTATCCAAAGCACCCGTACTATTCCACAACTTCCTTCACAATAGCGCCACCTTGACGACACATGACTCACTGAAAACATGACGTTTATCATCATCCGATTTAGTCAACAACCTACGGTAGATAATTCTACATGCTATAGAAAGAAATGAGGGATACTAGTTGGATGAGATCATATGTCGAATTATCTGAATCACGAACGCTTGCGTGTTTGAGTATGTTTCTTTTCAATATATTGAAATGAAAAAAGATACAATCAATATAAAATTAAGGCCATAGCCATAAACAGAACCGTTTACCGTTTGGTTTGATCATTTGCTACTGTCATACGGCATCGTTGTATTTAGTTCTCCATCTTCAAAGCCACGTTGTGCAATTTTGTGATTATTTAAAAGATTACATTAAGAAAAATGATTCCACACGTGAAAGACAAAGTAAGTCATCAACTGTATACTTATTAATTGTATTATTATCGACATGGTTTTATTTTGAGAAATGGAAGAGGTGTGGTGAATGAAACAATCACGTTTTTATATAGAAAGGAGACTATTCCTTGTATCTGCGTTAAATAAAATTCAATAATAATTATGGATTTAGAATTGGCGTCAGTCAACTTCTACATGCGTGTAAATTCACAGAAAATCTCATTTACGATATTTTAAAAAGGATTGTTGTAATGTTTTGTCATTTCCAGGCAAATAAAATACCAAATGAATTTAATGATACTCAATTACTGTCGTAACCACATTTTTTCGAGTATTTTTTATGATATTGGTTTTCACATACATATACCGGCGTTTTCATGATTAGGTAATTAAAATCCTAATCCTATAAAGGTGTTCAAATAGGATTTGATGTCATTTCCATAATTCCTTAGTACAAATCTGAATATTTGATTTCATAATAATTCAGTAATGTGGAATAAGATAGTATATATGAAAATTTGGCATAAAAACCAATGTTTATGACTTAAATTTTCCAATTCACTTCAAATTCAGGCACCACTTGCAATAACTTTTATAATTATATATGATTCATTAATAGGTTAAGCTTTGAAAAGTAGGCACAAGTTTTGAAGGTGTTCAGCTTTTTTTGGTGTCAACGCCATCTAATAGTGGGTTTATGCAACACTTTCTAAGAACTAAACCTAATAACTAGTAACTGTAACTAAGATTATACCCAAAAACAGTGTCAAAAACAGTCAAGTTTCCGTGAATGCTCCCTTTGATTTTTTACGGTAGAAATCTTGGTTCTTAGTCTTAGGAGGTGTGTTGCATAAATCTGCTATCATACTATTATCATTAGCATCGTCTTTGGGTAGGCCATAATAACTCCTGGAGCCTCCTAGGAAGTTTAATGGCCTTTCACAATCCCATCATCCATGTCACTTAGCAGAATTAATCCACTTTCAACTAGATAAATTTTGTAAGAAAATATCTGGTCGAAGAGGGATTCGAACCCAAGATCTTTCGATAGTGAGTCGTGCACACTATCAACTGTTCCAATTAACCGCCCAAATGTATTTTAAGTATTCGCGGCTATAATTGCAGATTTCAATGCAATGAAAAGTTTTTTTAATATTGAAGAAATGTTCCCAATAGAGATGCGAACATGATCTTGAAAGAATCAGTGATACTTAACCTCTCTAAATTTGATTTGATTTTCTTTAAATTATACTTTTCTGGCAGCATTGATCAACTTGAATTCAAAATTCAAACAGGCGTTCAGCTTCCAGCAACTTCAAAATTTTAGATATCAGTTAAGTGCGTTTTATCAGAATTTGCAGTAAATTATGTTATTACCAAGTTTCATTTCTCAGGAAAATCCATTCATTGCCATAAATTATAGTTGATTATTTTGTTTGTTTGCATACAGATAATTATTTCAGATTAGTTACCTACTTTATTTCACATATGTATATATAGTATAGTGCAGAGAATTTCCTCTTACCCACTCAATGATATGAGGAGAGAGTTGAAAATATAACAATAGCATGCTTTTATTATTAATATCTTAGAAAATACAGAAGATAATCCTAAAAAGAGAAACATTTCTGTTATATGACTGTTGTTCTTCGTATCTTGAATTATTAGGAAGGAGCACCTAAGGACTTCCTTTCCATCACTATGAATGAATCTTTTTACTTTTTATTCAAGAATATTAAAATATTTCGTTATTATCCGTGTATTCTCATTCATCTTGACTGAAAGATGGAATCGCCTACCCACATGGAACACTCCATTCAAAATTGAGTAGTCTCCCATTTATTATGCAAACCGTACGCTTAAAGAAAATATTGAAACACTAGATTCGCAAGAACCAGTTACTTTGCTCATTTCCACTGATCGCTTCAAGGGAAACTTGAAACCTTTCTTGGAAAGTTCAAAAACATTTTGAACTTGTAGTGTTTTAAAAGTGTTTTTCTGGTTCGCCAGATAAGGCGAGAACACTGCGTTCTTAGACTATTCGAGTAAGTTATTGGCGTAAGATGGCGCTGAAAAACTCGGGGATAAAATGTCGATTTTGTTTTCAGAAAATAGATGAAGTTTTTTATTTGAAATGATCGTCCTTTTTGGAATTTTCTCGAGCGAAAATCACCTTTCTTCAGCTGTATTAACTTTTTCTCTCTAGTATTCCTAGATAAAGTATTAAGTTGGATAGATGCTAATATATAAATATCTACTTCATTTGCTTAGAGTATATATTTTGAATAGTTCACTACGAACATACTTAAATTTTCTACTTGGTTCACTTACCAAGTCTGATTCAATTCTCTATTCCTTCACTGTTTTCGGATCTTGTGGAAAGCCGTGCATAGGGACAATAGACAATTCAATTCGTTGTTCTACCAGTTGTTCGATCTTGGTTGTCTGACCATTTCTACGATAAAAGCAAAGTGTGTGGAGTTGTATTTCAACTAGTCTTATAGCATGCTAAAAAATCTGTGATATAACTCGATTGGATGTACAAACGGAACTGAATTTAAGGTCGTCATATGAATTTCCAATATCCAAATCTTTCTTTTACACTAATTGCAAATGTTCCGATACAATTTACTTTCATTCATTTTCAAAATGTTATTCATACAGCCGAATAGAAAATCATTCATTTTCGATCAACATTTTATAGGAAAAATTTTGTTTATTTTGACGAGATCCATCACATACTTAGTTTTTGTAATGAATGTTTTCAGCAACTTGACTTGGCGTCCTAGGAGCTAAGTAATATGAATCGATATAAAAAATTGTGAATATCTCAAAAACGATCACCTCCAGCGTTGTTAAGGAAGTGTACTTTTTTTACATGAAAAAGGTGTGGGAATTGAGTTTTTTCATGAAAAGTACCAAAAGTTTATTGTCAAACACGTTAGGGCAATTTAGAATAAATAATGACAGCGTGTGCAGCACCCTCTAGATGTTACATGAAAATTAATACGAAATTATGATTTCCCACATAAAAAAAACGCCGGGTACCAAATTTCGTGCAAATAACTAACTTTTTGCAAAAGTTATTTTTTAAAAACGAACAAAAAATTCAATTTCAACACCCTGTAGCTCCGAAACGAAATATTTCCGGACACAAGTTTTTTTTTAATTGTCTCAGGAATACATCACTCGAATATTTTAAAGTATATCAATGAAAAAATTTCATACCTTTCCGAGTAATACCGTTCAACTTTTATTGAACTTTATTTTCTCGAAAACTCATTTTCACGAAATCGATTAGAGACAATATTTCATCAATACCTTAATTTCATTTCCATTTATGAAATGAAATATATGAATTGAAAAATGTATATTGATCGAAAACGGTTCAGTATAATTTCTTCATTAAATAATTTTGACACGTTATTCTTTACAAATATTTGCGAAGAAGATAAAATTATCTCGGGTGAAAATGGTTATCAATTTATGAATGTTTATTTTCCACAATCCTCCTGAATTGTATTCTCCGAATCAAAAATATCACTAAGATAGTATAACTTGACAAAATTAAACATGATTTTTTATTCTTGAAAAGTTGTTTGCCCTACAGCGAACAAACAATAATTTATTTTCAACAAATATAGTACGGGAAAAAATGTTGTTGAAATGTGTGTCATGAAAAAGATGGTGGGAAAACTCCAGTGTTACAAGTCAATAAAAACCACTTGAAGCTGCTTTTTGGGTACTATTCCATTCTAGTCATTTTTTTTTTCGATTCCTCTTGAAGTTGCTACTTTTTCATTTTGTATCCATCACTAGAATATTGGAAGTTTAATACTGGGGGAACTCGAAATGCTTTGTTGGAATTGTTAAAAATGTAAACGTTATTTCGATCACCAAGTCATCATCTTCCAGTTCTTCCAGAGGAAAATTAAACTGAAATAATAGTAGTAATCATTTAGAAAGCTGAGAAATTAAATAGGATATATTGATGGAAACGTATGAAAATGCAAATTAGGAACAATTAAATAATTTAGAGGAATATTAAAATAATTCGATGTTCTTTAATAGCGTGTTTTTAAGTTTTTTAAACTATATTTATTTTTAATTTTTTAGTTCCGTTTGCTATAAAAGCGTGTTTTTAGTCTTTTTAAACTGAATTTATTTTATTAGAACTTTGGGATCAATCAACCGATATTTTCCGATTCCGGAGAGGGAGTCTGAAAATCAGCTACCAAGCCCAAAGAAGGCAGCAGGCGCGCGTGTTAATAAAAAAAATACTTTGTTTCAAATGAAGAAACACATGTAAAGGGAGTTCGAATTATATCAAGGAGGTTACGTACATCGCCATCTGCCCGCGAATAGATGAAGCAATAATGTCGATAATTCTATCAAATACAGATCCCGAGCATTCAAACGGAAAAGAAGAGTTACAAACAAACATACCTACATACAGGTGCAGCTAATAATAGCGTGTTCATTGAAATTCAAAAAAAATCATTTTTTCAGATGAAGAAAATACATGTAAAGTGAGTTCGGATTATATCAAGAAGCTTACGTACAGCGCCATCTGCCTGCGAATAGATCAAGCAATAATGTCGATAATTCTGTTAAATACAGATCCAGATATGAAATGAAAAGGAGAGTTACAAACAAACATACGTACATGCAGGTGAAGCTAATATAAAGCGTGTAATAATAATAACGCTCACTCATAGTACCATGAAGTAACTAACAAAATTAGGTATCATGAGCTTTAAATATATCAGATAATCATATCAGGTTGTTCTGTGTTCTTTTTATATATTTTAACAACCACCTTGGCATCATTCTTTCAATGGAAAAATATGGAACTGAAGCCTCGAAAGATCCATACGCTGTTGACCAATTGAATCGTAGAAACACTTCATTCAGCAGAAAGAAATCAGACAAGATCGGAAGATGGTAACTCGCGAAAAAGAATAACGCGGAGGAAAATTTGATATAAGGTTTAATTGAATTTGAAATTG